TAAAAGAATTAGTAAATAAAAAAGATACTTTAAATGTTTATAATAAACTATTAGAATTAATAAACTTAATAGAAGAAGATTTTATAAAAGATTGTAAAGAAATTGAATTAAATAATAAGTATAATTATTCTATGAATATTTATACTAAATTAAGAACTATTTGTGATGAAATTGAAAATGATTGTAATGTGGATAACATAAATAAAACATTAGATGAACTAGATAAATAAATTTTTAAATGACCCTTATAAATGCAGTTATTAAATAAACAAATAAATTTAAGGACAGAGAAGGTTAAAGCATTAGAGACACTAGAAGGTTATCCTTATATTGTAGCTGGTCTTTACAGTGGAGATATATTATTACTAACTATAACAGATACATTAGAGATAGTTAAGTCAGTTAGAATATCTGATTGTCCAGTAAGAGCAGTGGCAATTTCAAATTCTAAGAAATTTATTTTAGCAGGAAATGATGAAGGAAATGTAATTATACTAGATTCTGAATCATTGCAGGTAATTAAGATAATTAACGCTCATAAAGACTTTATAAGATCAATAACAATATCAGACTACAACTCTTGCTTTATAACATCATCTGATGATTGTACTGTTAAATTATATGATTTAAATAACTTTACATGTAAACAACACTATAAAGACTTAAAACACTATGTTATGGATACAGCATTTGATAGAACTGAACCTGTATTTTATACTGCTTGTTTAGATGGTAAGATAAGAGTTTATTCAATTCATAACAATAAGAGAATAGACACTTTGTACTGTAGAACTGTTGATGTTGAAAAATCAAAGGGAATCAAATCAGTTATTAAAAACATTTCAAAGAAGAAAATAACAACCAACTTCAAATCTTTCAATAATTTAAGTGGGTTGAATTCTGTTAAGTTTATTTCTGATGAATGTTTTGCTACTGTTAATGATGATGGTTTTTTAACTATTTATGATAAGAATAGAAAATCAGTTGTTATGGCTAATAAACTATTCAATCATCAGGGTAATAAAGTAAAGTCTTTTAAATATGAGAATGAGGAGTTATTTGGTGCAGTTTCATGTGATGGTAATTGTTATATTTTTAAGGATTATGATAATGTAATTGGGTCTATTGAAACTACCTGTAAAATTTGGGATCTTTGTTTCTATAAAAATCACATTCTTATTGGAACTGATTTTGAAATAATTGCTAATCAAATATCAGTTGATACTAAGTTAGTTAGAATGTCTAATGATAGAATATTTACTTTGAGTAATTCTAGTATTTATATGCAAAAGGTAGAGGATATGATTGAGAAAGATTTAGGTACTTTATCAAATATTAAAGATATTATACCTTCCCAAAATGGAAAATTTTTAGGAGTGATTTTTAATGATAATGTATGTAATATTGGTGTTTATTCAATATTGGGATTGAGAAAGAAATTATTTGTAAACAATGCTTATGATATTAAGTTTGATAAGAAGGGTTGTGTTTACATCCATAAAAAAGACCATATTATCAAATATGATGAGAGATTTAATGAAATTTATATGAAAAAGATTAAAAGTAATGAAAGTATGTTGTTTATTAGTGAAAATAAGATTTTATTAAAAACTAAGACTGGTATTGAGTTAATTGAAAATAATGAGGATGGTAAGAAAATACTTGAAATTAATGAGAGTGGTGTTAAAAGTGGTGTAGTTTTAAATGAGAATATAATTTTATTTACTAAAAATGGAATTATAGTTTATAAAGATAATAAGAAAGTAGATGATAATTCTATCAATGATGAAGTAACTGATTATTTAGTTTATGATAATACTCTTGTTGTTTTAGCTAATTATTCTTTATATTTCTTATTGATAGGAAAAGAAAAAATTATTAAGTTCCCAATTAGGAAAGTAAATATTAGTGTTAGTGGTAAATTGTTAGGAGCATATAATAATGAAATATTTTACTTAGAAAGAAAAATTGACAGAATAGAAATTGATAAAGAGTATTTAGATTGGCAATGTGAAGTACTTAATGGTAATTTACCTTTAGTAAAGGACTCATTTAGACATAAAGCCATCAGTTTCTATGAAAGTCAAGGCATGTATGAAGAATCTTTAAAACTTTGTGTAAATGATAATCAAAAGTTTGAAATTTTAGTTAAATTAGGTGATTTTAATAAAGCAGAAGAACTAGCTAATTCAGAAGTTAAATTCAATAGGTTGGGTAAAGCTTATTTAGAAGAATTTAAAAAAACTAAAGAAGTTAAATATTTAACGAAAAGTAGTGATTGTTTCTATAAAAGCAATGATTTTACTTCTTTAGTGTTAACAGATAGTTTTAGTAATAAAAAATATCTTAAAGAGGTTGGAAAACAAGCCAAACAACAAGGTCAATTTAATCTTTCATTCATGGCTTATTATAAGAATAAAGATTATAAAATATGCTCAGAATTATTAAAAGATACAATTTATTATGAATTGTTTAGAAAAAATTATCAATAAATTTCTAATTTTTTATTAATTTTCTTGTAATAAAAATAATCACTAACAAAATTTTTAAATTATACTTTTTATAATAAAAAAAGATATTAATATACTATTTTATAATAATAAGGAATTAAGAGTTTATTAATTTAAATAATAAAATAAAATAAAACAGGAAGAATAAAGAATGCAATTAAAAATTCAAGAACGAAGGGCATTAACATTAAAAACATACCTTTATAATCTTTTATAATGAAGGGTAAAATCAATCTCTTAATTAAAATTTCAGCTATAAATAAAGTGCATTTTTCAAAAATATCAGATACCTTAAAATCGTTTCTCAGTGTAAAGTAATCATCAATATTATAACTAAATTTAGTAAAAACTAAAGATCCTGTTATAACAATAAAGTATTTGAAATACTTAAAGAGTAAAAATACATCAGGATTGATATAAAATAATAATTCAAATAAACTGGTGTAAAATTCAGATTTAAGCAATGTAAAACCTAATGACATAATTGATATAAAAATAACCAGGTGTAGATTTAAAAATGATCTATTGTAAAAAATTCCAAATAAGGGAATAAATAAAATAAAGTTTGGAATCAATGCAAATGGAGCTATTGAAATAGTCATGTAAAATATCATTTCAAAAAGATTAATTCTAGAATTTTTAACGTAATAAAATAACGTATGAATGATATTTTTATCAAAATCAATTAAGTCTAAAAAGTAAGAATTGATTCTTAAAACCATAAAACTTATTACTATAAAAATTATAAAGAATGCAAAAACCATAATCAAATTATCATTCTTCAAATAATTTATAAAATTAGTAATGTATATAAACCGGATATCAGGTGATCGACATTCAGATAATAAAAGTTCAGGTGCTTTCAAATCAGCCAATTTAAAATTTTCTTCAATTCCTAATTTTTCAAAAATATCAATTAATGGCAGTTCTTTCCTAATAAAATTTCTCATCTTTTTAAAATACTTATTTTCAAAAATATCTGAAATCTTAGTCTCTTCAAATATTAAATCCTTTATTGTTAAATTTGATAATTTAACTTTACTGTTGGTAGTTTCTGGAACAAAATCATAAACAGTTATACTTGATAAATCTTCTTTAGATGGTATACCTTTAAACCTTTTTTTAATTTTTTCAAAAGAGTCTATCAATAGTAGAAAGAATCGTGCTATTGAAATTTTATCTAATTCAGATAAATTTTTTATTTCTTCTATGCTAAAATCTTTGTTTTGAAGAAATTCATGTAAAACTATCTTTAAAAATACATCGTTAATATTATAAATAAACATAAGAGGATCATTATTTTTAACAAATTTAGAAATTTTATCCTCTTTTATATTTTCCACAATAGGTTTATCAAAAGTAATATAATGTAGAGCAACATAAAAACACCAACAAATTAATGTAAATATATTGTCATTCTCATCTTTAATATATAAATTCACCAAGTATGACACTAATGCTATCAAAACTGTTATAACTTGTGTAATTAAAGAGTATAATTTTAAATTAGAAAAATTACTCTTAAATACTCTCCACAGATTTATAAATAAGTAATAAGAGATCATAAACTTAATTTTTGGTCTTTTTCTAAGCACTGGTAATGGTTCATATTCAATATTTTTTTGAGACTCTTGTTCTAAAATAAAATTTTTTTTACAGGTCTCTAAAATTTTTTCTCTTAATAACACATTATTATCAATAATATAACAAAGCTCTATTAAATCTTCAGCTGTTGTAACTGAGACATTAAAGTTCTTTTCAAAATATTCAGGATATTCTTTGGTTTTACTATGATAAATTACTCCATGTTTACTCAATACCATCAATCTGTCAAAATAACTTAATGTTTCTGGATTTGGTTGATGAATTGTTATAACAATAGCTTTATTATCGTTCTTTGCTGTATTTCTAAGGTCTTCTAACATTCTATGTGCCGTACAAACATCTAAATTACTCAATGGTTCATCATACAATTGGAAAGGCATACCCAATAATACACTTGATATTGTACTAATTCTTTCCATTTCTCCTGATGATAACGTATTCAGTAATGATTGTTTCTTATCTAACATATCATAAGCAAGTAGTGTTTTATCAATATATTCTAATGTTTCTTTTGTTATTTTAATATTTTCCATACATAGCTGGAATTTTATATGTTCTATAACTTTTAATTTACTCAATGAAGGGGTGAATTGTGACTTATAAGAAAGGTGCTGATTTAAATAATTAATACTCATCTCTTCATTGTTAATAAAGATTTTTCCATTCATAACTTTAGTTTTAGAATATTGTTTAGATAGGAAGTCAAAAAGTGATGATTTACCAGCACCAGATGGTCCCATTACTCCTGTTACTTCTCCTGTACACACACTTCCATACACTTGTTCAAGTATTACAGTTTTCTTATTACTTGATTTTATATTCGCTTCATAGCTTAATTTAGTTGTAACATCTGCTTTTTGATTCATTTTAAGGGTGACAAACAATTTTCTAATATAAAGTTATTTGTTACTTTTTGTTAATATCAAAATTAATGATAAAAAAGAATTTTAATTTATTTTTTAAAGTATTATTTGTTATTTAATGATCTTTAAAGTTTGAAATTTTATAAAAATTTAAATTAAATAAAAAAACTAACATAAAAATATTTTGGTTTTTTTAATTTAAAAATTTTTAAATTAAAAAATCTTATTAAAATTATCATAAAATTTAATTATTTGGCAATAAATCCATTAACCCCTTTAAATATTTTATCTTCAAATCACTTCTTTTTTTTCTAATAAAACTTTTAAGTGGATCAGATCTAAAAAGTTCAATATGAGAAAAATTTTTAAAAACATGAGTGAAATATGTTATACTTATTTTTTTTAAGCCAATAAAAAATAGTTGCTTATTTTTAGGAAATTCGTTTTTAATAGAATCAATATAGTTCATCTCTGTAATTTGTTTATCAGTTACAATTTTTCTTGCCCATTCTAAAACAGCCATTGTATCTTTATTACTGTGAATATTAATAAAAAAAACACTTGTACCAATAAAAAATTGATCTTCTTCATTTAAATTACAATCATTCTTAAATGTTAAAATCAAATCTTTAATAGATTCTTGAATATCATCTTCTTCATTTTGCTTGTTTTTAATCTTTTTAATCAAATTTTTAAGTTTATGATAAAATTTTATAAATTTCAATGAATTATTTAAATAATTAACAAATTCATTGATAGCCAATTCTAAATCATTTAAATATATCTTTTTTTTAGATTTTAAACAACATTCTTTAAAAAAAACTTCTATTAAAAACAATTCATAATAAGATAGAATATTATTGTTTTTAACTTCAAATAAATCTTCATTAAAATTTTTTGAATCTGGTTTAAATGTTCTTTTAGAATAATTTTCTTTAAAAATATTTTCATAGTATTCTTTTTCTTTATTATTTAAAGATCTAGGTATAATCTTATCAACAACTTTTTTATGATCGAAAGTTAAAATTTTTTTAAGAGAAACTCTTTTAGAAAAAATTTTTAAAATTTCTTCTAGTTCTTCTGTATTAAAAGTTTTAAATTCTGGTATTTCATTTGAATTTTCAATAACATTTTTAGATTTCTTCATTTTTTGATCATCATTATTAATTTTAGAAGGTTCATTTTTTTAAAATTTTTTAACATTTTGAATTACTTGTTCTATAGAGCTAATGTTATTATTATATTTTCTTTTTCTTCCGAGTTCTTCTTTAAAATCTTCTAGCTGGGAATTACTTTTGTTAATATCTAATGAGATATTTTTGTTATTATTTTTATATCAGATATTGAATCTTTATTAATGTCAGATATTGAATCTTTATTAATGTCATGTATTGAATCTTTATTAATGTCAGGTGTTGGATCTGAGTTAATGGCAGGTATTGAATCTTTATTAATGGCAGGTATTGAATCTTTATTAACGGCAGGTATTGGATCTGGGTCAATAGAAAGTATTAGATTTTCATAATTGTCTTTATTCTTATTTTCATTTGATTCAAAAAAATCTTCTGAATTTTCAAACAAAAATTTTTCACTTAAATCAATATCTTCTAAAATAAAATTAATTTCTTTGTCAGTTAATAATTGTTCATTTCTTGTTTCAGAAGATGAATCATTCTCTGAAACAACTGTCTGATTTAAAGGATTTAATTCACAAACGTTGGTATTTTCTGGTATAGATTGTTCAACATTATCCGTTAAAGAACTACAATTATATTTAATTACTAATAACAAATTGAAAATCATGGGTTAAAAAAATTAAAGTTTTAAAAATATTTAAAACCGAGTCATACAAGCATTAAGTATGTTATCAGATACTTCTATTAACATAATTATGTTTATTAATGTTTAATAAAAATTTATTTACAACTGTTAATTATAATAAAATCAATATATAAACTAAAAGATTTATAAAAAAGACAATATAATAACAACAATCAAATGATACTCAATATAGTTTGTATAGGATTAAAGAAGAGTTTTTAAAAAAATGTTTCCCAATCTATAGTGGCGACCAAAAAATTACAAAATTCACTTAGGTTAAATATGAAAATAATGAATTTTGAAACTGAAAACAAACTTATGATGTTATCAAATATATATAATGGGTTTGTAGTTTTTAGAATTAAGCTTTTATAAAAAATTAAAAGTGATCAATTAAAAAAATTACAAAAAATTCGGATCAAGTCCCTTTTTTTCCCAACGTGGGAAAAAAAGACTGTTTAAATATAAAAAAATATTAGAAAAATACAGTAAAATATTTTTAATAGATTTTTAAACCTATGAATCATTGGTATAGCAGCGTTTAAGAACCGATTTTGCGTGGGCAAACTGAAAACTTAATAAAGTTTTTTTTCGCACCAAGGGCGTGTTAAAGAGGTATGTGAAATGCATATCTTATCAACAAGATATGGAAACTAGACCATACTCTAGAAATAGAGATAGAGTAGCATTTAGGTGTTTTAGCAATAAATGTATTAACTACAGTAAACACATTTCTATTCGCACTGAATTGCTATTATCAATTTTCAATGTACTTTTGAGTAGCATACTATAGATATGTTATAAATGGTTTAACAACCAAACTCAACTAAAAATAAGATCAGAAGTGAATGTGGGAAGAAAGATAATTATGAAAATAATTGATCTTCTACAAATGTGGGGTTTAAAACATGCCACTGAAAACCCGCTTTGCCTAGTAAGTGGTGGTATAATTGTGCAAAAAGATGACACTCAGAACATTGAAAGTGTATGGAATAAATGCAAATATGTTCTAAATATACACAAAAGTATTGTGGCATCAAAGGTTAATTTATTGCTAAAGGAACTAGTTTGGAAAAATAATCTTGGATTTAATAAGAATTTTGAAGAATTATTAATATTTTTAATATTATAATAAATTTGGCTTTTATTGTTTTTTTATTATTTTATTTATTGTTTATTTTTCTGGGGAAAAAAAGACTTATTTTTGTTTTAGGGAAAAAAAGGGATTTGATTTAAAGATGTATTATTAAATTACCATGCAGTAAGTTATTTTTAATTAAAAGTAAGTACAAATTCAAAAATTAAATGAGGAAATAAAAGAAGGTTTTAAATTAAAAGTTTCTGTAATAAATATAAGGAGAAGCTATCTCAGGTAGATTTAATGATATATAAGTCACAAAAGAAACCGTTATTGAGCAAAATTGATATTTTAAAAAGGTTTAATTTTTTAAAAAAACATTTATAAAAATAATGATTTTCTGACATCAATATTATAAAGTAAAAGAACTAAATTGTACCTTTTTGACTCTAATAATATAATTTTTTTAGAAGACTAAAGGATGAAAGGTTTATAACAGCCACTGTTAAACATAGTAGAGGATCATTAATGATTTAGGGTTGTTTTAATCAAAAGATGTTAATAATATTTAAATTATCAAAAAAGGATAGTTTAAAACATACTAAGATTTTAAAATGAAATTTAAAGTTCTCAATTAAAAAATTAAATATACAAGAAAATTTTTTATTTTAACAAGACAATGATCCTAAACATACATCAAGTTTTATTTACAATTTTTTTCGAAAATAAAGACATCGAAATATTAGAAAAACATTCTCAATCATCTGATATTAATTTAATAGAACACCTTTAACCTATTTTAAAGAGAAATGTACATTTAAGGAGACAAAAGAACAATAAAGAACTAAAAAATTTGTAATTGAAGAATGGTTTAAAATACCAAAATATGTCTGTGAAAAGCTTGTTTTTTAATAGATAATATAATTTTTAATTGTTCGAAACAAAAGAGTATATTACCAAGTATTAATAAAATTCATTGTAAGTTTTTTGTCCAATCACTTTCAGTTTTTTATAAGAGTTTAATTTTAAAAACTACAAACCTATTATATATATTTGATAATATTATAAGTTTATTTTCAGTTTCAAAATTCATTATTTTTATATTTAATCTATGTTGGTATTGCAATTTTTTTGTCACTACTGTAATTATTAACTGTTTTAATAAAACAAATAAAAATTAGTTTAACTTTTCATAAATATTAAAGTAAAAAATTCTCAGAAATTTTATTTAAGTTACACTTACTTGGTTTTGTTAACACGATTGAATTTATAACTAATTAAAAAATTTATTTTTAACCTTATTTTTAATTAAATTGATGATTAAGAAAAATGATCTATTAAAAAATACAGAACAACCATCAGAGAATAAACTACATATTAAAACAAATAAAAAAAACTAAAATAAAATCTAGTTAATAAACTTTTTCAAAAAAGTATAATTTTTTAAGTTTTTTTTATTAACTTAACTTAGAAAACAAATAAAAATCTTTTCTACTAAACTAAATTACAAAATAATTTATATCAAGTAAAATTCCGTTATTTGAATATTTTCTAAGTCGTAAAATCAAATTAATATCTTTTGTTAGAGCCATAATAATTATCACTTCTTCTATTAAAATTATCATTTGAATAATTGTTTCTTCTATAAGAATTGTTAAATGAATTATTTCTTCTATAAGAATTGTTAAATGAATTATTTC